TCTCCTGTTCAGAGGCCAGACTTTGTCCAGTCGTCTGTGTTGGAGTTCTCCATTTCCCCACCTCCTGGATGCCCCTCACTCCCCCGCTGATGTCTGGAGCTCCTGTCACTGTGCTGGCACAGCATCACCAAGGTGCTCACTTCATGTTGCTGAATCCAGGAAGCATGTTTGTCTTCACCCGACCTCCCACCAGCTTGCAGAGTATTGCCTAACCCCTCCTTCACACTTTGAAGAAGTCACATCTGACTTTCCTCCTAACTTTTAGGCTGTTCCTTTTTGGCCTCCTTTAATGGCTTATTTTCCTGACCAACCTTATATAGAGTTCCTCTGTGCACTTTTCTTCCTAGGAAGTCTCATTAACTTGGACAGCTTTATTCTGGTGACTCTCAATTTCCTATCTCTAGTTTAGCCCTTTTCAGAATCCTATATCTGTGTATTCAACTTGCCCTCTTGATAACCTCCCTTGAATGTCTCATAGATGTCTCAAATTCGGTGTGTCTTAAACAGAATCTTTCATCTTCTTCCTAAAGACTGACCCTCTTGCAGTATTATCTAATCCATTAAATCGAGTACACTCTATTCAGATCTGAAATCTGTGCATCTTTCTTAACTGTTACCTCTCAATTCTCAAATCCAGTCAACAACCAGATGCTTTTGATTTTACCCACTGAACACAGCTTGAATCTGTACATGTTCCATTTATGCTGCTGTTAGTTGAATGCAAGTAATCTCCTTTCACCAACATTACTCTAATAATTTTTCTTTTGGACCCCTCCAACCTGCTTTCCATCTGTAGCTATTATGCCTTTTAAAACCATTTTGATCATGTTATCCCCCTGCTTTAAACATTGTGCTCCTTCTAGCCTTAAAGAAGGAAAGACAGAAAACTTCTACTACTAACCCTACAATCCAGGTTAGAGTAGATGGCATGAAGAACCCTTTCAGTACTAAAGGAAAAGTCTCATTCCCAACTCAGTAAAGTTCAAGTTGAAAAGTAGTCATTATTTTCAGATTATAAATTAATTACCTAACATAATTGTTGTGACAGAAGGAAGTCAGTGTCTTCCTGTCCTTTGCTTTTCACTGTGAGAGTAGTCTCTTTTTTTTTTTTTGCGGTATGCGGGCCTCTCACTGTTGTGGCCTCTCCCGTTGTGGAGCACAGGCTCCGGACACGCAGGCTCAGCGGCCATGGCTCACGGGCCCAGCCGCTCCGCGGCATGTGGGATCTTCCCGGACCGGGGCACGAACCCATGTCCCCTGCATCGGCAGGTGGACTCTCAACCACTGCGCCACCAGGGAAGCCCCAAGAGTAGTCTCTTTTGAACCAGTTTAGTTGTCTCCTTTTGAACATCCTCCCTCATTATTCAGAGTGTCATATTATGCTTATAAGTGTATATTAATATGCCTCTTTCAGAAGCATATCGACCTAGAAGCACATCCATTCATTAATCTTTCAAGAAACATTTCTGGGTGAGATGGCTGGTGGCCTGAGTGCTCCATGGTGACTCCTCTCTCCCAGCATCTTCTTGCAATAATTCGACTGTTAGAATAAATCCCTTAATGTGGATTCGTGGGCCAGGTGTAGCCATCTGCTCAGCCCCAGACACACCCTTCCAGAGGAAATGATGTGGATTCAGAACTGGTAGAAGTCCTATGTGTTCACAGGGCAAGGGACGATCTGGAAGTAGATCTTATTCTCTGAAATAGGCCAGCCCATCACCTGCTTCAGCGGACCCTCTGGCTGAGCCAGGTGGCACCATCTGTACCTCGGGAGCTGTTGCCCCTGCAGGCTAGCCTCACAAGGCCTTCGGGGAAGTCTTCAGTCTGGCAGACGCCATGAGCCCATGGAACATAACCGCCATCCTTTGTCTTCATCTGTAGACGTCTAGCCTTTTCTGCTCAGTCTGGGGTGTGCCGAGACCCTGGAAGCCTCCTTCTCCTTCAGTACATCAGGGGGCGTACTGTGGAAGAAACCCCAACAATTTGTCCTACTCAGGTATCAAGAAAACTCATGTCCTCTGCTGGTGAAGATGCACTTGGATGTGCTTTGAGAAACATAGTTTTCTAACACGACAAATTTAATGGTAATGTAACAGTATGTTACCAAGAAGAAAACAGACACAAAACTACTGTTAACATCGTCTTTTCCCTACCTTAATCCTAGAAAAGAGAAGGTAGCATTGCTTCTCAAGGCTTATTTAGGGATTTGTGCTGTATCATCTCAGAAGAGAATAGTATGAAGGGGAAGTATGTTGAATGGGGTGGGTAGAAATAGACAAACTCGAGTCTGTAGAAAAAAATGGGAAACAGGGTGGAAGAGACTATCCTGCATTGGTGGCACTTGGCCTCCCACATCAAAGGATGGCTGCGGGTGACAAGTCTGTGGTTAGGGGCAGGGAATCTGTGTGAGCCTCCTTAAGTAGCACCATGTAAGGAAAAGAGAGCAGGAAATTGGCGTGTTGTGCTAAGAAACAGAAAATTGAAGAGCATAGACAAGGGATCTAGACCCTTCCTTGGCTTACTGACACCATTTTAACCTGAAATTTTTATACAACCCTATGGGACACTGCCCCAAAGGACCAATTGAATTTCTTAACCCTTCAGAAAGGGGCTTGAAGTAACTAAATTTGGAGAAGTACAGGAATGAATATTTTACTCCCGGGTGTTACAGCCTATAATTCATTCAGTCAGGCGTCTTTGATAGGAAAAAAGGAAAACATGTAATACAAATTCTCAAAGAGATTAAAAATACTGCGTAGCAAAGAGCTTCCAAAACATAATCATAATTGGAGAAAAATAATTATCTACCACTGAAAAAAAATTACTGATCCAGAGCTGGGGTCAGCAAGCCAGAACTTATGGGCCATTATGTCACCTGCCACCCTTTTTTGTGCATAAATGTTTACTGGAACACAGCTATACTCATTTGTTCTCACATTGTCTGTGGCTGCTTACACACTGTGATGACAGAGCCAGAGCTTTGACAGAGACTGTATGGCCTGCAGGCTTAAAATATTTCCTCTCTGGGGCTTCCCTGGTGGCGCAGTTGTTGAGAATCTGCCTGCCAATGCAGGGGACACGGGTTCGAGCCCCGGTCTGGGAAGATCCCACATGCCGCGGAGCAACTGGGCCCGTGAGCCACAATTACTGAGCCTGCGCGTCTGGAGCCTGTGCTCCGCAACGAGAGAGGCCGCGATAGTGAGAGGACCGTGCACTGCGATGAAGAGTGGACCCCGCTTGCCACAACTGGTGAAGGCCCTCGCACAGAAACGAAGACCCAACACAGCCATAAATAAATAAATAAATTTAAATCATTAAAAAAAATTTTTTTTCTCTCTGGACTGTACGAAAACAGTTGTGGATTCCTAAAGAGGATCAAGTGGCATTATTTTCTAATACAGTGAAACTATAAAGAGGAAACAAATAATGGAAGAAACTAGGAAGATTATACACACACACGTGCATACACACAGACACACACACGCTCTCCCTCCCTCCGTCCCTCCTCCCCCTGACCTCCCTTAGACACACAAACACACATTCAGATGTCTACATAACAGAAGCTCTGGAAATAGCAAAAAAGAACACAAGGAGCAATATCAAAGAAATAATACAAGAAAACTTTACTAAGCTATAGTAAAACCCGTGTTCAGATAGAGAGGGACTTCCATATGCCATACAGAACACTGGAAGGGAAAACCAGCAAACCTGGAGATAGTCCAGAGTCACTGTTCAACTCTGAGGATAAACATAACTTCAAGGGAAAACAGCAGGCTTTTGGGATTCTAATCTGTGGCAATAAAAACAACAGGCTTTTGGGATTCTAATCTGTGGCAATAAAAGCTAGAGGGCAGTAAAACAATATATACTAGCTTCTAAAATTAATGTATGAACTCTCCACTTCTGTGGCTTTGTAGAAAATCATGTTCTAATCCTGAGAAGCTGTCACCTGTGTCTATCTCGATACGTTTTTAGGATTTATCAAGAGCATAGCAACATTTCAGTAGCTGGAGACTTAAAATACTATGTTCAGAGGCAACCTAACCTAATCCAACAACTTTGTAACTTGCCTTAGTTTTGATGCAGATGGCATTTTCAGGAGACGTATTCTGTTGAAAGGGAGGAAAATGGGGATACGCAGAGATGGTATTAGGACAGTAAGCCAGCTGTGCCCGTGGCCCCTCTCAGTTGATCACAGTATCTAAGGAGCCACAGAACACTCGGGTCTGATGATAACCTTCTTCTGTGGAAAAATCTCGGATGGTTAGTTTAACACAGCAGCAGGGTGGGGAAGTGTCTTGTGAGGCGGAGGGCACATTGGTAGAACAAGGATTGCAGCCTGTGGCTGAAGTTCCTGGGAAGCTGCTGGGAAGTGGGGTCAGAAATGAGGAAGAGGCAGTAAGCTGCAGCCTGGGTGGCTGCTTGGACAGGGTTTCGTTTGCAGCCAGAATAGGCCAGAAATCAGTGAATGGGCTAGAGCCAAACCTCCCCTGCACAGAGAGCTGACAGATTCCTTCCGGGTGAAGGGTAGTTGGGTATAATCTCAGTAACAACCATCAAAATAGCATCAGTCTGTTAATGATGCAAGCTAGAATGTTTTGTTTAAAATCGGAATGCTGCACTTAAGTCACACTGTCTTCTTTGCTAAGAATGATGGTTACAGATGATAATTTTACATTTGTCTTATTTTTTAAAAGAATAAAACTTAAATGGTTGCTATACAAATATGTGGATGGCCAAAGTCAGACCAAATAATCTATTTTAAGTTCTAAATAATAACTTATTATTTTACTTTACCAATCATTTTTTTGTGCATATATTTATTTCTCTGGGGGATCTCATCATAAGAGGTGATTGTGGTGATACCAAGATTTAGGTATTTTTGTGTCCTGGGCAAAGATGATATTATACGAAGTCATTTGTGCATAGTATATAAATCTATCAGAATAAGTTTTTGTTAACAAGATCATTTTCTCAACACGTTATTCCTTATATTTTAGAAAAGGCGCCGGCGGATTGACCGAAGTATGATTGGAGAGCCCACAAACTTTGTGCACACGGCTCACGTGGGGTCAGGAGACCTGTTCAGTGGGATGAATTCCGTAAGTATGTGGGTGGAACATACAGGTGGGGCCTCCAGGCATAGTCATGTGTACCTGTGTAACAGGTACATACATTCTTAATGATGGCACTGTGCCCAGTGTATTATAGACATTGACCGTACATACTTAATGTGAGCATCAAAGAGAAGAAAATGATCAATGAAAAATTAATCTCTTACGTAGTTTGCCAAGTCATCTGTTTTTCTAAACTTTTTGTAGCTACCTTTCTTCCGAATAAATACTTTAAAACTTTTAAAGGATTTGAATTCAGAAAGGAAGGTACTCTCCCATGGATTCTCATGCCCCCTGCCGCCAAAGCAACTTGGAGGTCAGCTTTTTAGTAATATTTAATCTCTTAAGTTCAGTTAGTTGCCTTTTGCAGACGTATTTATTGCATTTCCCTTATAAAATATTAGGCTTTACCTGATATTAGAATGCTTGTTATTTATTTATTACTGTAACATAAGTTCTCACACACTTAGCAGAGGATTAGAATTTGTATGTATTTGCTGTTTTTTATAGAGGTTTCGGTGAATTTCAGAAGACGCTTTAAATTTACTCAGCTGAACTCTTACTCCTTAATTTTTCATCTAAGGGAAAATAGAGAGCAGTATAATAGAAACCAATAGAGGGTTTTTATCAGGGCTCTGCCACTATTGCTATCCCCCATATCTAAAGTACACTGAGTTGTCTAAATGATCCCTCAAGTGTTTAGAACCAGAAAGTCAATAAGGCTTTTATAAACACAAAATTATGCTGCATTGTATGCTCACTTACTGGACAGCGTTAACAAAAGACTTAAAAGAACAGAGACTTACAAGGTAGGTAGGTGAGTATCCTGGATACAGCAAACAAGTTTGTCCCTATAGTTACTAGGTAAGCAAAGGGATGACATTTGTAGCTTCCTGGAAAGGAAACAGCTTGTTTGTTTTAAATCTGTAGGAAAAGTACACTGAACTGCTTTTGTGGAAATGTAAGAGGTGTCAGATTGCTGTTAAAATACAACTCAGTAGCTTCGTTTCCTGGATTAATGTGGAGTGAAGAGACCAAATGGGACCCTATGACTTTTGTTAATATTAAGGTCATTGTGGCATATATAAATAAAATGAACGGTTTCAAATTTATTATATCTGATTAATTTCTTTCTCATCGACATGTCTTCTTCCCCACTTTTGTTCTTAAAAATTTAACTGTATAGGACAAATTAAGTTCTTAGTTCATAGTACTTAGTTAACTTTTAAAATCTCGTTTATGCACATTTCAGAATTTCCTTCAAGATTCCTATCTGGTAATTTGTCTCTATGAAAAGCCTGTCATTGATGTACATGATTCTTGCTTGCGATCAAGTTAGGTAAAGTTTGAGGACTGTCCCCTGCAGGGCTGACTGAGCTGCAGCATCAAGATGGGCCCTCAGCTGTTGTAGAGGTTCTGCCCTGCAGTCTCCAGACAGCCTCCTCTGGTTACTGAAGTAGATTTCTTATGAGGTGTTCTAGCTCTTCAGAACCAAACCTGTCTTCCGAAGGCTGTTTGTACTCATTGCCTATGTTTACGTATTAGTTTGTTGTCTCTACAAAGAAATAGTTTCTCTTAAGTTCATCTATTCTGAGAATTGAGCAACAGTAATAGGAACATGGCTCGATGCATATGAAAGAGGCAGGCCACGCTGGATTATTGAATGGTCAGATGACTGGTTTTTTTCCCCTAAATACACTGTTCTTCCCAAGACTACTTTTCATACTAACTTATTGCTAGAAAAAGTTTCTATGACTCTTTTAATAATATAACTTTATTGTGTTAAAATAATGCATATCCACAGTCACAATAATACATATCATCTCAATACTGAGGGTTACTTACTAGAAAATCCAAGTCCTTTTGTTTGAAATTGAAGAATTGACTTTTGGAAGAAAAACATTTTTTTTTTCTTAGAATTTGCATGGCGTTATGAAAGTACCATGTAAAAATATAAAGATGTTGTAAATAGGCCTAAGATACCTATAAAACCTAACTTGTCATGTTAGGTGGGAAATTATTTGGTACTAGGGTAAAATCAAGTTTGTGCCACAAAACAGTGTTACCACAGAGGAGCAGAAAATTAACCGATAGCCTATGGCCATAAGCTTCGCAGACTGAGCAAGTTTACTTAAATAGACCTATAGATTTTAATTTTATTTATTAAAATTTAAAAATTTTATTTATTTTTGGCTGCATTGGGTGGTTGTTGCTGCGTGAGGGCTTTCTCTAGTTGTGGCGAGCAGGGGCTACTCTTCCTTGCGGTGCGCAGGCTTCTCATTGCGGTGGCTTCTCGTTGCGGAGCACACCTGCATTGGCAGGCGGATTCTTAACCACTGCGCCACCAGGGAAGTCCCTCTCTTTTTTAATATATTCTTACCTAAAGTAGTCATTTGAGTAATGTGAATATAGATGTTACAGTTCATCACTATGTGATATCATTGGAGTTAGTTCCACATATGTGAATTTTTCAGTAAATGAGTAAAAATTTACCCATTTAAGAGCCAATCACATGCTCTCACTTTAACCATATTGGACCTGAATAGCCATGCATTTTATATTTTGCTATTCTCTTCAGTTAGAATATATTTAAACCTGTCTTACTCCAAAAATAACTTAGACCAGTCTTATTATTTTCTTTAAACAAACTGACTGAGGATCATCAATGAAAAGACACCTTGTATCGATACATCATGTTTTCTGTGATTAAGTATTTGATAAGTAGATTAATGAGTGGATGGTGCTCCCACCCCCTTCTCACCTCCCTGGGTCCTAGAAATGTGAAGGGCCCTTTGAGCTGTTTCTGTGCATTAGACCAGACTGCCAGTGCTCTCACCGTTGACTGTTAGGCCGTCACATCCCAGACCTTCCTGTTGCCCCTTTTTCTAGCAGTCTAGCTTGATTCGCTCGTTCTCTGCTTCCAAAATGCTTCTAATTGCTATGAACTAAGATAGGATACACTAAGAACTCTTCACAGTTCGCACGTAACTTTGTGACTTTGTTTTGGCAAAGTAAGAAAACATCCCAGCGGGACTTCCCTGGCGGTCCAGTGGTTAACACTCCGCGCTTCCACCACAGGGGTCACAGGTTCGATCCCTGATCCGGGAACTAAGATTCCACATGCCGTGCATCATGGCCAGGAAAAAAGAGAAAATACCCGAGCATTTATATATCTCACAGTCTACTAGAAAGTAGCCCTGTAATGTGGTTAGGAAAGGTTATCATCTTTAATCATTTTACAGATAAGAAGCCTGATATGCACAGAGGATAAGTAGTTCACCCAGAGTTAAAATATTAATAAAGAAGCTTGGATTACAGTCCAAGTCTTTGGATTCTTTAGTTGTTGTTGGAACATAGTTGATTTACAATGTGGTGTTAGTTTCAGGTGTACAGCAAAATGAATCAGTTATATATATACATATATCCACTCTTTTAGCTTCTGTTCGCGTATTGGCCATTACAGAGTATTGAGTAGAGTTCTCTGTGCTATGCAGTAGGTCCTTATTAGTTATCTATTTTATATATACTAGTGTATATGTCGAGCCCAGTCTCCCAATTTATCCCTCCCAAGATCCCATCCTCCCTGGTAATCATAAGATTGTTTTCTACATCTGTGACTTTCTGTTTTGTAAATAATTTGGGATGACATTTAGGTTGCTTCCATGTCTTGGCTATTGTAAATAGTGTTACTATGAACATAGGGATGCATGTATCCTTTTGTAAATATTATAGTTTTCTTCAGATGTATGCCCAGGAGTGGGATTGCTGGATATGGTAGTTCTGTTTTTAGTTTTTTAAGGAACCTCATACTGTTCTCCATAGTGGTTGTACCATTTACAATCGACCAACAGTGCAGGAGGGTATCTTTTTCCCACACCCTGTCCAGCATTTACTGTTTGTAGAATGTTTGATGATGGCCATTCTGACCAGTGTGAGGTGATACCTCATTGTAATTTTGATTTGCTTTTCTCTGATAATTAGTGATGTTGAGCATCTTTCTTTTGCTTTTTGGCCATCTGTATGTCTTCTTTGGAGAAATGTCTATTTAGATCTTTTGCCCATTTTTTTTTAATTCAAACAAAATCACAAAAATTTTAATCATCCTCATCAGTTCACTCAGTCCCATGTAATTAATTTTTTTTCATCTTGATCTTTTGTTAGCACTTTGATGAATTCATCAGTTTTCCATTAGAGTTCTGAAAATGCTTATTCAGTTCAGCAGTATCGTCAGTTACCAGAAACCTGTACTTGTCAGAGTCTTTTCCATGAATTCCTTGAAGATGGAACCCTTTTATCAGGAACACTTTTGCAAAAGCATCACAGTACACCCAGAACTGTCTGTAAATGACAAATGACTTAAAAATGACCACGGTTAAAGGTTTGATGAAAGTTCATAATAATGCAATTGACAAGGAAATTTAGTTATTTCTGAGAAGATATATATTTTAAAGTAATAACTAGAATTATGACTTACAACATTAAACCAGAACGTATAAGATTTTTAGAAGTTTCCTGTAATGTCTGAAACATTTATATTAACATATTTCCATACAAATAACCCAAAGAAAGTTCAGTATTAGTTGTTTTTTTGTTTGTTTTTTTATACTGCAGGTTCTTATTAGTCATCAATTTTATACACATCAGTGTATACATGTCAATCCCAGTCGCCCAATTCAGCACGCCACCATGCCCACCCCACCGCGGTTTTCCCCCTTGGTGTCTGTACCATTTTTCTAGGTTCCACATACATGCATTAATATACGATACTTGATTTTCTCTTTCTGACTTACTTCACTCTGTATGACAGTCTCTAGATCCATCCATGTCTCAACGAATTTCATTCTTTTTTTATGGCTGAGTAATATTCCATTGTATATATGTACCACAACTTCGTTATCCATTCGTCTGTCGATGGGCATTTAGGTTGCTTCCATGACCTGGCTATTGTAAATAGTGCTGCATTGAACATTGGGGTGCATGTGTCTTTT